GCTTATGCCTTTTAATATATATATTTATACATATTTAATTTGGAAAAAGTGCTACCACAGAATCCTTCTGAATTTTTCTACCCAAAAGGACAATCCACAGACAACATTAACCATAGTCTGCATCTAACTGGAAGATAAACCAACTCCTTAGGAAAAGACGGATGGACCCGCGTTAGTTCACCCCACCTTAAGTGGGCTTCACTCAACCCAGCTCTTTTTAAGGTTGTGGCTTTGCCACGATTTGGAGAGAGAACATCCATGGACCACAGCAGCGAGTGCAAAAAGAACAGGAAAATGATGGAAGTTTCAAGACGGGATGTTCCTCCTTAGAATCCAACCACAGGTCCCAAAGCTAAGCTAGAAGAGCAACTAGCTGGATGTTCCAGATAGAGACCACGTGAAACAGCTCTGCAGACGTAAAGGCTCTCCAAAATCTAGAAAGCATCTTGAAAAGTCAAGTCAATATATCTCGACGGCAGGACTACTGTGTGCACAAAAATGGAAGGACATTTCGATTCCCCCGATGGACGGAGGGCTCCAGAAGTTGACGGAGCTGGCAGAGATGGCCAAATTGACTGTTTTGATTAAAGAAGCTTTGTTTCTACATGGAAACCGCTTCTGGACTTTGTGCTTGAGGTGGAAAAGAATGAAACTTGGATTCTGGGTTCCACTGATTAGATTGATTTGTTGTTACAGAAATGGCTAGTTTTTACTATTGTGAAAAAGTACTAAATTGAGGCTCGACGTTAATACTCTATTCCAGGGGTCTCCAACTGTGGCAACTTTAAGACTTGTGGACTTCAATTCCCAGAATTCCTCAGCCAGCAAAGCTGGCTGAGGAATTCTGGGAGTTGAAGTCCACAAGTCTTAAAGTTGCCTAGGTTGCAGACCCCTGCTATTCTACTGCAATAGGGGAAGTCAATCTCTTTTTTTCTCCTTTTTTCTCCCCATTGTGTCCTACTATTTGCTTTGCAGTTTCTATTTTACTGTACAACTTAATGTTATTAAAAAAAGGAAGAAAAGTCAGCCAAGAGTTTATGCAGGTGACAATGTTCTACGATGCCTCGCAACCTACAAAGAGCTAAATCAAACTATACACCAGTTTGTCCTCTCCCCAACTGCTGAGTCCTTGTCTTCTAAAACGACACGATCCCTGTAGGTGTCAAGGCAGGTGGCAAAACTCTTCCATCACTTATTCACTGGTTCTTTTAGCATCACCAACCAAACGAGCATCCTTCATCCAGAATCTAAGCCCGTAATTCTCTTTCTGGGACAATCGGATCATCCCGTAATAATGCCAAAGCTGACGGATGACACCTTATTTTTTTGTAAGTTTAAGGTTCTCCACTTTCAATCTCGTAATTCCCTTTTTTCCCCATAGAGGACCCCAGAGATGACTGTGGAGGAACGTCAGACCGGCTGACAAAATTGGATTTAAGCCCAGGATGGGAAGGCTATGTTATAAAGCAGTGGTTCTCAACCTGTGGGTCGGGACCCCATTTGGGGTCGAACGATCCTTTCACGGGGGTCGCCAAACAACGCAGTTCGCCATTCCCCCCCCCCTTTCCTTAGCTGTGCTACTCCCTTTTATTCTATTGGCTTTCGAAAGCCAATAGAACAGACTCTCTTGAATAGAGTCTAATTCTATTGGCTTTCAAAAGCCAATAGGAATTGTCCAGGCTCTCTCTGCCCTGCTGAGCCCGCCAAAAGTCCCATTCTGCAAACGGTGCTGCACCAGTTGAGTAGTCCTAGCCTACTCACCAGCCTAAGTTCTCGACTTACGACCGGAGGGGGGGTCGCGGCATTAAAAAGGTTGAGAACCACTGTTATAAAGGAACTTAAAATGGCTTTGCCTTCAAGTCTCTTGGCTGTGGGAGGAAGGAGAAACGAGCTTAGGCTTCTCTTATCCTGTTAACACCCAGGACAGGACTTCGAACACCAGGGAAGTTTCTTCCATAATTATTCTTCCAACCACAAGCCCAACGGATGCAGACAAAACCCACCTCTCCAAGAAAATGAGAAGGCCACTAACCTCCTTGTCCACTTTTGAACTTTTACTGGATGGGTTTATTCCATTGGTTTGGGTAAAACTTTTCTTATTTTTCATTTCCACATTTCATTTCTTGCCGTTCTGCCCCCAGCTCTCAATATTTTCATCAATCCCCCTAAAAAGCAGCCAGCAATTAAAATATATGTCTATAAATATATAAACGGGAGGACAGATAAGAAGTCTCAACTCCTTCATGAGTTCAACTGCAGTTGACAAACTGGGTTGACGCAGGAGATCTAGTGGCTTAACAGAAAGAAGCCTTGGGCTGGTTTGGGGAACAGGAGATGGCTATATATATATATATATATATATATATATATATATATATATATATATATATATATATATATATATATATATTATAATAATTTGGATTGCTAACAAAGAATTAAGGGAGAATGGGATAGCTATTTCGAGTTTCTTAACTCTCTTCAGCCACACTTACCCTTCTGAGATTCAAGCCTGGGCTATGTGCATGTTAGGCAGCTGTATTAACCTCTAGGTTAATATATATATATGTGTGTTTTGATATATATTATATATATATCAGAACACACCTCCACCCAATCAGAACACAGCCAAGCTCCCACCCAATCAGTTCATACCCCCACTGGCAGTTAAAAGGAAGAAACAGCTAAGACCACACATTGCTCCTCGAAGCACGAAGCTGAAAACACCAGCCTGAAGATGACGAATGGGACTTCGTCGAAACGTCGCCAAGACACTTCCAATTTTACGCGGGACAAAACCCGAATAACCAAAGACCTACGTATATAAATTTATATATATAAATTAATTGGCTCACTGTGATAAGAGGATAGACTCAACGTGAGAGGCTGTAATCTGTCTCCCCGGTCACCAGGACTGCAATGCGACAGTCCTGGTGACTTGTGAGGACGTAAGTCTCCTCACCCACAAGGAGTGGCTGAGGAAGTATGTACAAAAGTGCATTGCACACACATTGGAGAAAGTTGTAAAACTCAAAAGTCCCTCCCTGTAGATCAGGCGTGGGCAACTAAGGCCCCTTTTACGATTTTCTGGGACTTCAACTCCCAGAATTCCTGAGCTAGCCATGCTGGTTCAGGGATTCTGGGAGCTGAAGTCTACAGGTCGTAAAGGGACCATAGTCGCCCACCCCTTGCTCTAGGTCAGGGGTGGGGAACCATGGTGCTTTTATGACTTGTGGACTTCAACTCCCAGAATTCCTGAGTCAGCCATGCGTTCTCCCCCCCCCCCCTTGAGACCTTCTGACAAGCAAAGTCAATGGGGCAGCCATGCTGGCTGAGGAATTCGGGGAATTGAAGTCCACAAGTCATAAAAGGGCCATGGTTCCCCACCCTTGCTCTAGGTCAGGGGTAGGCAATCTTGGCTCTTTCATGACTTGTGGACTTCAACTCCCAGAATTCCTGAGCCAACATGGCTCAGCTTGGAAACCTCTCCCTTTCCCCTCAGCATGGCTGGCTCAGGAATTCTGGGAGTTGAAGTCCATGACTCCTAAAAGAGCCAAGGTTGCCTATCCCTGGCCTAGGCCTGTGTTTTTCAACGTTGGCCACTCGGAGATGGGTAGACTTCAACTCCCAGAATTCCTGAGCCAGCATGGGGGAACTATGGCCCCTTCATGACTTTGGATTTCAACTCCCAGAATTCCTGAGCCAACATGGCTCAGCTTGGAAACCTCTCCCTTTCCCCTCAGCATGGCTGGCTCAGGAATTCTGGGAGTTGAAGTCCACCGGTCATAAAAGAGCCAAGGTTGCCTACGCCTAATCTAGGTCCATAAAATGGGGATGTGAAGAGGCTTTATTTAAAAATATTAATTCCACGTAGTCAATACTGAACTTTTACAAAAAATGACTCTCAGATAGACACTTCAAGACAAAAAAAAAAAAACCTCCAGAAAAGGGATTTTCTCAGCTTCTTCCTCAAAACGTCCGAACCTATGGCAGCCAACGATACTCCACAAAATACCTCCAAATCAAGTGCCATTCCGTACCATCAGTAATTCCCGCGTCCCATTCCTGTTTCCAGAAAGACCTCCTTCACACACACCTTCCTAAATTTCCCTCCGTTTTCTCGTCAAGAGAGACCGCCTTTCCCGTCTCCAACTTCAACGTCAACCCGCCTTCTTCTCCCAGACATCCCAAAAGTCATAGTTATCAAATCGAAGGGGAATTTTATGACTTTATGGGCTAGCACCACAAACCCGCGCAAAGAGGAACAGCCTACTCGCTGGAAGGGTGGTGGGGTGGGGTGGACAGACCGTGATGCGTTCGAGACACATCAGAATTGGTGGATCCATCTCTACAAACCAGGTGATGTCTCGCCAACTGTCCAAGCCTCACAAGTCTTGCCAAAAAAGGATGACCCAGCTATCTTTTCAAACATGAATGCCAAACAAGCACAGCATAGCACAACACCCTTCGTACCTCAACTAACTCAGCTCTGCTGTGTATCTAGATCAGGGGCCTTCAAACTTGGGCCTTTTATGACTTGTGGACTTCAACTCCCAGAATTCCTCAGCCAGCAAACCTTTGCTGGCTGAGGAATTCTGGGAGTTGAAGTCCACAAGTCATAAAAGGCCCACGTTTGAAGGCCCCTGATCTAGATTGATCTCTGCCCAGAAGAAGTGGACTTAGCTCCAGGCCTGCCAACCCAATGGCATCTACTATAGTTAGTTCATGCCTTAATCCAGTGTTTCCCAAACTTGACAATTTTAAGGCATGAGGACTTCAACTCCCAGAATTCCACAGCCAGCGTTGCTGGCTGTGGAATTCTGGGAGTTGAAGTCCACATGCCTTAAAATTGTCAAGTTTGGGAAACACTGCCTTAATCCACCAACCCATCCATCAGTTCTCCAGTGAAAAGAGAACGCTCCGGAGTTATTGCATTGAAAGTTGATGTTGTTACAAAGAGTTTTTGACAAGGTGAATATCTGGGAAAAGAAAGGAGAGGGGTGGGGTGAACCGCCGTCATTTCAAGCCTTTGAAACCAACAAAGGGGGGGGGGCAACTCCCAGTTTTCCTTGCTTGGGACAATTAAGAAAAAAAAGGGAGGGGGGAAAAGTTGTGATAAAAATGTCCTCCGCAAACTTCAGAAGTCAAGCCCTGTGCGTTTTTTTGTGTGGGGCGAGGTTCGTCTTCCCCCACGGGTGGGATCCAGCTAAGGGGGCACACCACCACGGAGGTTACATGATGCAGCATTTATTCTTGTGGTTCTGGGGATCCTTGAAACGCAGGCGCTGCTTCGGCCGGTATTTCTCCAGATAGGTCAGCTGCTTGCTGTTGATGGCGCCTCGGCGTTTCCTGCAAAGAGGAGGAAGAGGAAGGAAACATGTTGTGTGCTCCTCAAAATGTCTGAAAGTGATCTTTCCATGTAGGGAGGAGAGATTTTGGTCTAGGGGTTAAGGCAGGGGTCCCCAACGCCTAGTCCTTGGACCGGTACCGGGCCGCGGCATGCCAACAACCGGTCTGCACAAACAAGCAAAGCCCCTTCCGTGGGATGCAGACAGCACACAAAACCACGCATTCTCCGATCCGTGGAAAAACCTCTCTCCAAGGAACCCGTCCCTGGTGCCCCAAAAGTTGGCGACCTCTGGGTTAAGGCACCAGGCTGGAAACCGGGAGAGGGTGAATTCTAGTCCCACCTTAGACGGGCAAGCCAGCTGGGTGACTTTGGGCCAGTCACCAGGAGACAATGAGTTCTAGTCCCTCCTTATGCATGGAAGCCAGTTGAGTGACCTTGGACCAATCACCAGGAGGCAGTGAGTTCTAGTCCTGCTTTAGGCATGAAAGCGGGCTGGGTGGTTTTGCACCAATCACCAGGAGACGGTGAGTTCTAGTCCCACCTTAGTCATGAAAGCTGTCTGGATGACTTTGGGCCAATTACTAGGAGACAATGAGTTATAGTCCCGCTTTAGGCATGAAAGCTGGCTGGGTGACTTTGGGCCAATCACAGGATGAGGTAGATGGAAAATTGCCATTAAGAGAAATGATAAAGTACTTTTGAATTATATTTTAATTAACAGGTGATGTTTTGAAAGCATTAACTAATACTATTAACTGGCTGAGTGTGATGACCTGTGTACAATTCTATGAAGAAACATTTTTACAAGAAGTGCCAACTGAAAGTCACAAATGGTGTAAGATATTACACGTGTAGGGGAGTGTGGTTTTCTGCACATTGTATAAACTTCCCTTTTTCCTATGTGTGTGGTCTCAAGATATGAATTTCTCTCTTTTAGTGTGTTATAGGTAGATAAGAAGTCATCTATTAGGTTAAGCGTGGGCGCCAAGCTGTATAAAAATGACACCCTCGGAGTAACTCAGGGTTCAGAATCTGTCATGTGAATGCTCTGAACCATTGTGCACAAATAAAGCCTGTTTTCTCCAACCCTTCGTGGTCTTGTCTTCTGATGTAAGTATCGTGGTTTTTTCCACAACAAGGAGACCATGAATTCTAGTCCCTCCTTATGCATGAAAGCCAGTTGAGTGACTTTGGATCAATCACCAGGAGACAGTGAGTTCTAGTCCCGTCTTAGGCATGAAAGCCGGCTGGGTGACTTTGGGCCAATCACACTAGGAGACAGGGAGTTCCAATCCACCAGCTGATCTTCCTGCTTAAGGGGGGGACTAGAACTCACCGTCTCCTGGTGATCGATTATTAATTAGACTTGTTGGCTGCCCATCTTGCCAAGAAGCCCAGCATCATCCAAATCATCCACCTGGCTTTCATCTTAAGCCGGGGCTATAACTCACCGTTCTCCTGGTTTCTCGTCTGATGCCTGAACCACTAGAACAAACTGATTCCAGGCAACAACATGGACACTTCCATGCGGATTTCTTGGCATGAGTAGGAAAGTGATCTCCCCCCCCCCATGTCTTCTTTTGAGTTGGAACTTTTAATCCAGGTCGTTAAGTACCTTTTGGGAGGATCCATTGTAACTTAAAATGGTGACTACGCAACTGGTCGTTAACTTGAGGACTACCTGTTCTTGGCGCCCTGTAGGCATCCACAAGAGTTTATTGTGATGTCAATAATTTTTGACTCTTCCAACACAATTTGGACCGCGTGCAGGAATGAACGGGTCTCCTGCTTCCAGTTTAGAAGCAAGCCTGCTTGGAGAATTAAGATTATAAGCCATTTCCAGGGCTTAAGATAATGCATTTATTGCGATTTTGTTCAGAGTTGGGGAAGGAGGGATTTGAAGCACCTCCCCTGTCTATACTCTGAAGTGGTACCACCCAGTGGGAAAGATTCCTGCCAATTGTCTATGGAGGTTCTCAGTCACCCAGGTTGTGATTGTCCCAAAGGTGCTTTTTCGGGAAGCAACTGGACTTTCTTTGTTCTTCTTGGAAGACTTTTCGCTTCTCATCCAGGAAGCTTCTTCAGCTCTGACTGGATGGTGGGGAATGGAAGGACTTATACTCCTTGCCGACAATTGGTCATTTGCATTCTTTTAGAGAGTCTTTGAGGCCACTTGGAGGTTTATCCGTGTGCTCAGGGTCACTTCAACAGTGAAGGGACCCAGGGCAGAAAACATCCTGCAGGCAAGAAGGCTTCACACCCATTTTCACTACTCAGGTGAGCCTGAAGACATAAACCTCCAGGTGGTCTCACTGCCTCTCTAAAAGAATGTAAATGACCAGCTGTCTGCAAGCAATATAAATCCTTTATAAAGAGTGGCCTTTGTTTTTTAAATGTGGATGGACTGCTGAATCTTGTCCTGATGGGTTTGTTCTCCTATGCTGTACCCTGCAAGTGGCCTCAACAACTCTCTAAAAGAATGCAAATGACCAGCTGTCTGCAAGGAACATAAATCCTTTATCAATATAAAGAGTGGCCTTTGTTTTTTAAATGTAGGTAGACTGCTCAATCTTGTCCTGATGGGTTTGTTCTCCTATGTTGTACCCAGCAAGTGGCCTCAATGACTCTCTAAAAGGATGCAAATGACCAGCTGTCTGCAAGGAACATAAATCCTTTATCAATATAAAGAGTGGCCTTTAGTTATTAAATGTAGATGGACTGCTGAATCTTGTCCTGATGGGTTTGTTCTCCTATGCTGTACCCTGCAAGTGGCCTCAACGACTCTCTAAAAGAAGGCAAATGACCAGCTGTCTGCAAGGAACATAAATCTTTTCTAAATATAAAGAGTGGCCTTTGTTTTTTAAGTGTAGGTGTCCTGATGGGTTTGTTCTCCTATGTTGTACCCTGCAAGTGGCCTCAACGACTGGAAGGATTTATATTCCTTGCTGGCAGCTGGTCATTTGCATTCTTTTAGAGAGTCGTTGAGGTCACTTGGAGTTTTATCCATGTCCTCAGGGTCACTTCAACAGTGAAGGGACCCAGGGCAGAAAACATCCTGCAGGCAAGAAGGCTCCACACCCATTTTCACTACTCAGGTGACCCTGAAGACATAAACCTCCAGGTGGCCTCAACGACGCTCTAAAAAAATGCAGATGACCAGCAGTCTGCAAGGAGTATAAATCCTTTCTAAATATAAAGAGCGGCCTTTGTTTTTTAAACATAGATGGACTGCTGAATCTTGTCCCCATAGGCTTGTTCTCCTATGTTGCACCCTGCGTGGCCTCAACAACTCTCTAAAAGAATGCAAATAACCAGCTGTTTGCAAGGAGTATAAATCCTTCCATTCCCCACCATCCCGTCAGAGCTGAAGAAGCTTCTTGGATGAGAAGCGAAACGTCTTCAAAGAAAAACAAGGAAGTCTTGGGTTCCTGTATTCTTTAAAGATGTGCCAAGTAGTTGCCCACTGACCGGTGGTGGTCCATCTCCACCAGAGCCAGGTGGCACAGAGGCTTCCAGAAGAGGCACTTACTGTCTAATGAACTGGATGGCGTCTTCATATTTCATTCCGCTCTCAATCAGGGCGAGTGCGACCAGAACGGGAGCCCTGGACAGGAAAAGACAGAAGTGAGATCAGGCCCACAAAGCGATATTATTTCTCTATTCCAATTTGAAAACAACAACAACGACAAAATGGCTGAAGAATAATAAATCAGGACGCCAAGGCTGAAAGGGGGGGGGGGGAAATCCAGTTACACAAAACTGAACATATGGACTTGTGTTTTCTAAACTTGGTGACGTTAAGACGGCTGGATCTCCTGGGGAATTCTGGGAGTTGAAGTCCATCCATCCAGTTAGAACCATTAACCAGTGGAACTACCTGCCTCCAGAAGCGGTGAATGCGGCAACACTGGAAGTTTTTAGGCAGAAACTGGACAGCCATTTGTCTGAAATGGTATAGGGTTTCCTGCCTGAGCAGGGGGTTGGACTAGATGACCTCCAAGGTCCCTTCCAACTTTATCATCATCATTATTATTATTATTATGGATCATCGCACAGTCAGCCAGATGTTCAGATTGGATTTGGCATTTTGTCTACCTATCGAGTCCTTACCCAGGACCTGGGATAGGCAGATGTGGATGTTTGATGGTATTACAGATATCGTCGCAGATGGAAGCAGTTCCTAGTAAGGCCGCCTTTTGCAATTGACTAATAGTGAATTTGTCAATGCCAATGGTGTTCAAGTGGTGCTCCAGTTGTTTTGGGATTGCACCCAAGGAGCCTATGACTATTGGTACTACCCTTGCTTGCTTTTGCCACAGTCTTTCTATTTCTATTTGTAGGTCTTTGTATTTTGTTATCTTCTCCAGTTCTTTCTCTTCTGTTCTGCTATCTCCAGGCACTGCCACGTCCACTATCCAGACTTTTTTGTCTTTCTTATCGACAATTGTTAAGTCTGGGGTGTTATGTTGCAGGTGCTTGTCTGTTTGAATTCTGAAGTCCCAGAGCAGTTTAATTTTATCATTTTCTATGACTTTCTCTATTTTATGATCCCATAAAATAGAGAAAGTCATTATTATTACTATTACTATTATTATTATCTTAAAACTGGATCTAAACTGAGTGCCAACCTACAAGTTCTTTTCTACCACGTATATCTAAATTAGTGAAGGTAGTCAAACTCTTGGCCACGGATAATTGCAGAGTTTTGTGCAAAGGAAAAATGTCAACAACATAGTGCTTGTTCCTGGGTCAGAAACTGCCAGGTGGGCACTCACCGTCCCAGGCCAGCCACACAATGGACAGCGACGCAGCAGCCGGGATCTTCGCAGAATTTGGTCTTCAGCAGGTTGAGCCAGTCGTCCACAATTTTGTTGGGTGGTGGAGCTCCATCATCAAACGGCCAGTCCTGGAGAAGAAGACCAGAGATGAGAAGTCCTTGGGGCTCTCTGAGCTTGCTTGTTTACTTAAAGACGTTTCATGACCCAACTAGGTAACGTCATCAGTGCTAGAAGGGAATGGGGTCTGTGGAGGAGGAGGAGGAGGAGGGGGAGTGTGGGGTCCTTGGTGCTCCCGAGCTTGTTTAGACGTTCCATGACCCAACTAGGTAACGTCATCAGTGCTAGAAGGGAATGGGATCTGTGGAGGAAGAGGGGGAGTGTGGGGTCCCTGGTGCTCCCGAGCTTGTTTAGACGTTCCATGACCCAACTAGGTAACGTCATCAGTGCTAGAAGGGAATGGGATCTGTGGAGGAAGAGGGGGAGTGTGGGGTCCCTGGTGCTCCCAAGCTTGTTTAGACGTTCCATGACCCAACTAGGTAACGTCATCAGTGCTAGAAGGGAGTGGGGTCTGTGGAGTAGGAGGAGGAGGGGGAGGGTGGTGTCCTTGGTGCACCTGAGCTTGTTTAGACGTTCCATGACCCAACTAGGTAACATCATCAGTGCTAGAAGGGAGTGGAGTTTGTGGAGAGGAGGAGGAGGACAACTGTGGGGTCCTTGGTGCTCTGAGCTCGCTTGCTTACTTGCAGACGTAGGTTTGTTCTCTTATGTTGTACCTTGCAAATGGCCTCAACGACTCCCTAAAAGAATGCAAATGACCAGCAGTCTGAAAGGAATATAAATCCTTTATAAAGAGTGGCCTTTGTTTTTTAAATGTAGGTGGACTGCTGAATCTTGTCCCGATGGGTTTGTTCTATGTTGTACCCTCCAAGTGGCCTCAACGACTCTCTAAAAGGATGCAAATGACCAGCTGTCTGCAAGGAGTATAAATCCTTCCCTTTCCCACCATCCCGTCAGAGCTGAAGAAGCTTCTTGGAGGAGAAGCAAAACATCTTCAAAGGAAAAACAAGGAAGTCCAGTTGCCTCCTGAAAAGGCACCTTTGGGTCAACCATGACTTGGATGACTGGGAATCTCCTTAGACCAGGGCTTTTCAAACTTTTCACTCATTGTACCACTTTTAGGATATAGCAATACCCAAGTACCACCAGTCACCTAGCAAGGTGTCAAAAACTTGATGACAAAAAAAAAAAAGTGATTAAGTATAGGTAGTCCTCGACTTACAACAGTTCGCTTAGTGACCGTTCGAAGTTACAATGGCAGTGAGAAAAGTTCCCCGCAAGCCACAGCCGAGCAAGACACCTGCCTACCCACCTGCATTCTTCCTCCTGTCCGAGGTTTTCATTGTTGTGAGCATTTCTGTTGAGGATTGGCAGTGGGGGTGGGCTGGGGGGTGTTTGGTTTTTATTCCCCCCCCCCGTCTGCTGGGTGGCTGCAGCAGGTTTTGGCCACTTCACATGACCCCGGGACACTGTGACCGTCATAAATATGAATCGGTTGCAAGCATCTGAATGTAAATCACAAGACCCTGGAGATGCTGCAACAGTCCAGCTGATCGGCGCTTCTTCTGGGCTCAGCAGAAGCTCCCGGATCAGTGCTGCTTTCCAGCTGATTGGTGCTTCTTCAGGACTCAGCAGAAGTGTCAGGAACAGCACCGAGCTCCAGCTGGACCCTGGCACTGATCCTGGCGCTTCCGCTGAGCCCTGACAGCCCTGCAGCTCCAGTTGTCTCTTGCTCAGGCCTGTGCGGTGCTGACACCGGTTCAGCTCATTCCCCTCCCCTGCTACCACTTTTCTAGGATGGTCGCGTACCACCTGCCAGGTGCCCATGTACCACAGGTGGTACCCGTACCACTGGTTGAAAAGCCCTGCCGTAGACAATAAGAGGGGAATCAGACCTTGTGTTCTACAGGCATTGGCCAGACATTTAAGAAGGTGGGGAGAGGGTGTAGGAGATCAGTGGTACCACCAGCAGCTTTCCTTCTGATCTGGATTCAGGTGGGACATTTCTGTGATATTACATCGAACCCTGGTGGCCCTCAGAGACCAAGCGAAGCCCTTGAAATCCCACATCCACACAACCCCGGAAGGGATGTCTTTGGATCCCGGAAGAGAGTCCTACGTGGGAATTTCAGAATGAAGAATTGGTGCCGTTCCAGATCAACAGCTGGGATGAGAAAACAAAGCAGGATAGACGAAGCGGCTTGTGCTTTTTCCAACAAAAATGTGCATTTCTTTTTAGAATGGGGGTTTTTATTTTATTTTAAACAGAAACGCCCAGAAGCTAAGATTAAAACACCCGCATCCAAGGTGTTTTTGACTGCATCGTGCACCTGCGCTTAAGTTGGCACTTGGCTGCAGGCAGGAAGCAACCATGGAGAGGTTGCCCAAGTCTTCCTTTCCCTTACAAACCACACAACACAACTTGCTGAAGCCAAAACTGGGGGCCGGATGGAGATCTTCTGATGGAGGTGGACCCCCGTCCCTAAGAACTGGCTGTCTCTCATGGAAACGGTAATGCAGATGGATGTCCCGTACGGGTCCTTACACAATTAGAGCAGTTCGCTTAATTTAATCAAGAATGTAATGCAACATAAGTTTGTTCGATCATCTGTACTGTGTTCTATGAAAAGTTATAGCCAAATAACCAGGAAAAAGGAAGCACAACTTGCTTAGGTTGATCTCAGGTAGCTTTCCTTCCTCTGATTGTAGCCAATGAGCATGAGCATTTAGAGAGCCAATCAAAGGTCATCTTATTTGGCCATGAGCCAATCAGATCACAGTAGGATTCAGTTATCGATGTTGTGTACTGAAGCCGAGAGGAGGACATTGGTCAGTGTGTTATGTGATGGCTATCCAGTTGGCTGGGTTTTTTTGTGTTCTTTCATTGAGTAAGCTTGTAAAATGTAATAAAATTAAACTAATGGTGCAAGGAGTTGACTGGTCTCCCAGAAAGCGATGTAAAATACTATTTATTAAGTGAACAAGGCTACAGTTCTAAAGAAATTAGAAGAAAAATGGGTGGAAACTTAACCAAAGGTGGCATTTCTACTGTACACTTTTCCCAAAAGGTTTCCACAATTTTGGCCACTACTATATTCTGTTCTGTTCTGTTCTGTTCCGTTCCATCTATTCTATTCTATTCTATTCTATTCTATTCTATTCTATTCTATTCTATTCTATTCTATTCTATTCCATATTTTCTATTCTATTCTATTCTATTCTATTCTATTCTATTCTATTCTATTCTATTCTACTCCACATATTCTATTCTATTCTCCATTCCATATTCCATTCAACATTTTCTAGTCTATTCTCCATTCCATATTCCATTCCACATTTTCTATTCTATTCTATTCCACTCCACATATTCTATTCCACTCTCCATTCCATATTTTCTATTCTATTCTATTCCATATTTTCCATTCCATTCCATTCTATTCCATTCCATATTCTATTCCATTCTGTTCCATATTTTCTATTCTATTCTATTCTATTCTATTCTATTCTATTCTATTCTATTCTATTCTATTCTATTCTATCCTATCCTACCCTACCCTACCCTATCCTATCACTGAGGACATTCCCTGGTTGGGTCATGAAACGTCTGAAAGAAAACAAGCAAGCTCGGAGAGCACCAAGCTGCCCCCCCTCCCCGACCCCCTCACCCATTTCAACCCTAAGGCACAAATATTCTCTTTTATTTTTGCAATGTCATGGTTTGCACGCAATTCAATCCCTTTCTCTTAGGTTTTTGAAGAGTTATCCTGAGGACAGGCAGGATGTTAAGTCCATTCAAGTAACTTTCCTTCCAACACAGCACTGAGTTGGAAAAAAAATAAAAAAACAAAAAGGTTTGCATAACAAATATAGACGTTATGAAAGGCAGGATTTTAATTGTTGGGATTGAGACTTCGGTTATTTCCCAGTGACAACTGATGGAGGAACTAATATCCTATCGTAATCATCACAGCCAATCTCACTGCAGGCAGCTACGTTTCTACACGACCAGAAATAATACCATTATTCCCTCCCCCCCCGCCAAGATTTTCAGCTGCTGCCCAAGGGAAAGAAAATTTGGGATTATGCAATCTGGGACCTTTTGGGAGGTGGAGAATTTCCTTCTCCAGTTGCAAAATAACCTTGGCCAGACCTTTTTAAAGGCTGCCTCTTGAGATGGTCAGAAATAGGTGCTGTGCATCTCACTTAATTTGTGCGTTGGGGACAAAAGCATTATTACTCTTTTCTGTCACTAGAAGAAAACATCTGTAGCTCAGGATTGAATGTGTAGTTTTTGGTGCTCTCTGAGCTTGGCAGTTTTCTTGCAGACGTTTCATGACCTAACTAGGTAACGTCATCAGTGCTAGAAGGGAGTGGGGTTTGTGGAGAGGAGAAGGACTGTGGGGTCCTTGGTGCTCTCCAAGCTTGGCTGTTTCCTTGCAGATGTTTCATTACCCAACTAGGTACCATCATCAATGCTAGAAGGGAGTGGGGTTTATGGAGAGGAGGAGGAGGAGGAGGAGGAGGAGGAGGAGGAGGAGGAGGAGGAAGAGAAGAAGGAGAAGGACTGTGAGATCCTTGGTACTCTCTGAGCTTGGTTGTTTTCTTGCAGACGTTTCATTACCCAAATAGGTAACATCATCAATGTTAGAAGGGAGTTGGGTTTATGGAGAGGAGGAGGAGGGGGGAAGAGGAGGAGGAGGAGGAGGAGAACTGTGGAGTCTTTGATGCTCTCTAGGTTTGATAGTTTTCTTGCAGACATTTCATAACCTAACTAGGTAACGTCATCAGTGCTAGAAGGGAGTGGGGTTTGTGGAGAGGAGGAGGAGGAGAGAAGAACTGTGGAGTCTTTGATGACCTCTAGGTCTGGTAGTTTTCTTGCAGACATTTCATAACCTAACTAGGTAACGTCATCAGTGCTAGGAGGGTTTTTTTTTTTTTTTTTTGCTCTTACTTGTATATACTAGTGGCTTGTCCTATCAGTGTTGATCTGAGTGTTCTTGGGGGGTTCCAAACCACAAAGAAGAGGGAGTCAAGCTATTCCCCAAAGCACCTGACGACAGAGCAAGAAGCAACGGATGGAAACTCATCAACCCAGAACTAAGGAGAAACTACCTGACAGTTAGAACAATTAGCCAGTGGAACCACCTGCCTCCAGAAGCTGTGACTGCTCCAATGTGGAAGTTTTTAAGAAGAGACTGAACGGGCATTTGTCTGAAATGGTATAGGGTTTCCTGCCTGAGCAGGGGGTTGGACTAAATGACCTCAAAAGTCCTTTCCAGCTCTATTATTGTTAGGTAATGAAACATCTGCAAGAAAACCACCAACTCAGAGGACATCAATCTACAATCCTCCTCCTCCTTTCCATAAACCGAACTCCCTTCAAGCACTGATGATGTTACCTAGGTGGGTCATGAAATGTCTGCAAGAAAAAAAAGTCATAAAGGCGTCAAGTTCCCATCCTGGCTCAGGAATTCTGGGAGTTGAAGTCCACAAGTCGTAAAGGGGCCAAGTTTCCCACCTCTGCTTTAGCATAAAGCCATCTTTTTTTTTTTTGAATTAGCATCCATTCTAAGTGAGATCATCGCATAAGCCAGTGGTGGCGAACCTATGGCACGGGTGCCAGAAGTGGCACTCAGAGCCCTCTCTGTGGGCACGTGCGCCGTCACCCCAGTCCTAGGCCTTCAGCTGGGTTTTATAAAAACTTTCTGCTTTAGGCCTCCACCGCCGTGTGCAAAAGAAAAAAAGGTTCAATCAATCAGTCAATTTCAACTTCTCGCGGGAAGAAAAAAGATCTTGCAAAGTTGGAATTGATTGATTGAACTTTTTAGTCCCACCCAGTCTGCTGTAACCACTGCAGCCACGCCACCATATGGGCAACGCCTACCCAATGGGCCACACCCACCCAGCACCCGACGATGCATAAGTGGGTTTTGGGTTGCAGTTTGGTCACTCGGTCTCTAAAAGGTTCGCCATCACTGGCAGAAGCAGCTGGTTTTTGCCATGAACAACCTCCCCCCCAGCTCTTTAAACTGGTTTATGCTTCCCAACGGATGTCGTACGTTAAATCAGCCAGCTTCCCGAGGATTTCCCTTTTACATCTGTTTCCAGAGGGAAACAGTCTGCTGGTCAGGAGAGAGCCCTGGAAAATTTCCGCCTTGCTCATGACTCAATAGCATGGAGACGAGCTTGGATGACTCAAGAGAGGAACATATTGAGAGGTGAGGAGTTTTCTCGTTTTCTGGAATTCTGATTGCGTGATCATGGGGACGCTGCAGAGGTTGTTAACTGTAAAAAAACCCTGCTCATAAGTTACTTTTTTTTCAGTGCTGTTGTATCACTAAATGAACTGTTGTAAGTCAAGGACTATCTGGAGTCTGGAAAGAGTGCAGAGAAGAGCAACGAAGATGATCAGGGGACTGGAGGCTAAAACATATCACAAACAGTTGCAGGAATTGGGTATGTCTAGTTCTGGCTATGCTGACTCAGGAATTCTGGGAGTTGAAGTCCATGAGTCATAAAAGAGCCGAGGTTGCCTACCCCTGGTCTAGTTTAATGAAGAGAAGGACGAGGGGGGACATGATAGCAGCCTTCCAATATCTCAGGGGTTGCCCCAAAGAAGAGGGAGTCAAGCTATTCTCCAAAGTACCTGAAGGCAAGACAAGAAGCAATGGATGAAACCAACCAAGGAGAGAAGCAACCTAGAACTAAGGAGGAATTTCCTGACAGAACAATTAATCGGTGGAACGACTTGCCTCCAGAAGTTGTGGATGTAATGTCTAATTTAATGAAAAGAAGGACCAGGGGAGACATGATAGTAGCGTTCCAATATCTAAGGGGCTGTTCCAAAGAAAAGGGGGTCAACCTATTCTCCAAAGCACCAGAAGGCAAGACAAGAAACAATGGATGGAAACAAATCAAGGAGAGAAGCAACCTGGAACTAAGGAGAAAACTTCCTAACAGTGAGGACAATTAATTAGTGGAACAGCTTGCCTTCAGAAGTTGTGGGTGCTTCATCACCGGAGGTTTTTGAGACTGGACAGCCGTTGGTCTGAAATGGTCTAGGGCACGGGTTGGCAACCTTGGCTCTTTTATGACTCGTGGACTTCAACTCCCAGAATTCCTGAGCCAGCCACGCTGAGGGGAAAGGGAGAGGTTTCCAAGCTGAGCCATGCTGGCTCAGGAATTCTGGAGTTGAAGTCCACGAATCATGAGGGAGCCATAGTTCCCCCATGCTGGCTCAGGAATTCTGGGAGTTGAAGTCCACGAGTCATAAAGCGGCTTGGGCCTAGGCCAGAGATAGGTAACCTTGGCTCTTTTATGACTCATGGACTTCAACTCCCAGAATTCCTGAGCCAGCATGGGGGAACTATGGCCCCTTCATGACTCGTGGACTTCAACTCCCAGAATTCCTGAGCTAGCCATGCTGAGGGGAAAGGGAGAGGTTTCCAAGCTGAGCCAGGCTGGCTCAGGAATTCTGGGAGTTGAAGTCCCCGAGTCATGAAGGGGCCAAAGTTCCATGTTGGCTGAGGAATTCTGGGAGTTGAAGTCCACAAGTCATGAAGGGGCCATAGTTCCCCCATGTTGCCTCAGGAATTCTGGGAGTTGAAGTCCGCAAGACATGAAGGGGCCATAGTTCCCCCATGCTGGCTCAGGAATTCTGGGAGTTGAAGTCCACGAGTCATAAAAGAGCCAAGGTTGCCTACCCCTGGTATAGGTTCTCTTGCTTGAGCAGGGGGCTGGACTGGAAGACCTCCAAGGTCCCTTCCAACTCTGATGATGTTTTATGTGAGATCGGAGTCTGGGGTCAAATAAACCCATTGAATTTCAATCTCAATTTTGCGGAACGTACAACCTTGCTGAACCCACGTGAGCCCAGGCAGGACATTTTAACTCCCTTAGAAGAATTTGTGATACTTGATCTTCTGGGTTGCTTCAGCCAAGATTAAGGGGGAAAAAAAAACAACAACCCCGAAACGCAGAGACTTACCATCACTTTAATGCCATCCTTTTCCAGGGGCGTCTTGTCGTAGGTCACTTCACACACCCTCACAACGGTGGTTGCGCCGTATTTCTTCAGGTCCTGCCAGGAAAAAGGGGAAAATATTTCAGATTACCTTACTCTCTGCTTAAGACTCCAGTCATGGCTAAAGCAGTCTCATCTCAAGAACATTTGTCTAAAAATGTTTTACAGATGGCATATGACACCAGTAAGATTAACGAAAATGTTTAAAAATACTTTGAATAATTGCTGGGAATGTAAACAAAGACCAGGTACTTATACGATCGTATCTGGTGGACATGCCCTAAAGCAAAAAAGTTTTGGGTTAAGATACATACGTGGTTGGAAAAGATGATTAAAAGACATAATTTATACCAGAATTGTTTTTGTTAGGCATATTAGGACCTGATTATGAGAAGGAGAATGAATATTTAACATTGCATGTCCTGACAGCAGCGAGAATAGCATTTGCCCAATACTGGAAAAATGAAAACTTACCAAGTGAAGAGGTTTTAATTAAGAAGATCTTAGAATGTGCAGAAATGGATAGATTGACTTTAAAGAGAAGTTTAAAGTTTAGAGTTTAAAAAGAAGATTCAGTTCTTTAAGTGTGAATCAGTTCCCAAGCTTCTGAATTTTGATCATGTGATCTTGGGGGTGGGTTGGGGATGCTTCAAAGGCCGTAAACGGTGAACAACCACCTTAAGTCACCTTTTTCAGTGTCCTTGTTAACCTTGAACCGTCACTAAACAAAACGTTGTAACATGAGGACTATAATAATAATAATAAAAGTTGGAAGGGACCTTGGAGGTCATCTCGTCCAACCCCCTGCTCAGGCAGGAAACCCTACACCATTTCGGACCAATGGCTGTCCAGTCTCTTCTTAAAAATTTCCAGTGTTGGAGCATTCACCGCTTCTGGAGGCAGGTTGTTCCACTGGTTAATTGTTCTCACTGTCAGGAAGTTTCTCCTTAGTTCCAGGTTGCTTCTCTCCTTGATTAGTTTCCATCTGTTGCTTCTTGTCCTGCCTTCAGGCGCTTTGGAGAATGGTTTGACTCCCTCTTCTTTGGGCAGCCCCTGAGACACTGCTATCCTGTCCCCCCTCGTCCTTCTCTTCATTAAACTAGACATACTCAATTCTAGCAAATGTTCCTTATATGTTTTAGCCTCCAGGCCCCTGATCATCTTTGTTGCTCTTCTCTGTACTCTTTCTAGAGCAGCGGTTCTCAACCTTGACAATTTTAAGGCATGTGGACTTCAACTCCCAGAATTCCACAGCCAGCATTGCTGGCTGTGGAATTCTGGCACTTGAAGTCCACATGCCTTAAAATTGTCAAGGTTGAAAAACACTGTTCTAGAGTCTCAACATCTTTTTTACATCGTGGTGACCAAAACTGGATGCCGTCTTCCAAGTGTGGCCTTACCAAGGCCTTGTAAAGTGGTATCAACACTTCACGTGATCTTGATTCTGTCCCTCTGTTAGTGGGTAAATCCCGGTGCTGTTGCTCTTAAGCCCCGAAGGGCAGAGGATACCCTGATATTGAAGGCTTAGCGATAGCCTGCCAATCATAGTCCCTTTGGCCGAGATAGACTTCAGATCTATTTCTGGTGCCTAAGGGCTGCACGAATTCTTCTTAACGGCCGAAACGGGGTGAGCAAACGATGTGGGTGGAAAGGCTGACCAGCGGGGAAGTAGCAACGGCCGAGGCGCTCAGGTTTCCTGACCCAGAAGAATGTTGTTTTTGAACCTCTCGTGCTCAATTTAGGACTTACACAAATGCTTTCCTCGGATTTCCCCTCGCGAAAGGTCGCAAAGCAGTTGCTGTTGTCAGCTCAGAAGAGACACTTGAAGGTCCTCAGGACAACGTTCTCGAGTCGCCCTTGATCTACAAAAGCGGGTCAAGTTAGGCCGGTTCAAATGCCTAGCGAGACGGGTTTTCTGTGACACCTGCCAACTCTGGAAGGAATTCAGACAATGCGCGGTTTGTCCTCGCCTTATGACTGCCACTGAGCCCAACACGCTGGTTTGCTAAGCAAGGTGGCTGTTTAAGTGAGTTTTGTCCCGTTTTACAACCTTTTCTGCCACAGTTGTTAAGTAAATCCCTGCAGCTATTTGGTGACTCATCTGTCTACCTACCTACCTATCTATCTGTCTGCCTGCCTACCTACCTATCATTATCATCTATCATTATCTCTCTATCTCTATCATCTATATCATCTACCTTTTTCATTATCTCTTTCTATTATCTATCTATCTATCTATCCATCCATCCATCCATCATCTATATCATCTCTATCATTATATTATCTGTCTGTCTGTCTGTCTGTCTATCTATCCATCCATCAATATCATCTCTATCATCCATCTCTACTATCTATCTATCTATCTATCTATCTATCTATCTATCTATCTATCTATCTATCTATCTATCTACCTACCCACCCACCCACCCATCATCTCTATTCTATCTATCTATCTATCTATCTATCTATCTATCTATCTATCTATCTATCTATCTATCTATCTATCTATCTATCTATCTATCTATCTATCTATCTCTATCCATCATCTATATCTCTATCATTATATTATCTGTCTGTCTATCTATCCATCCATCAATATCATCTCTATCATCTATCTCTCTTATCTATCTATCCACCCATCCATCTATCCATCCGTCCATTATCTATCTATCTATCTATCTATCTATCTATCTATCTATCTATCTATCTATCTATCTATCTATCTATCTATCTATCCATCCATCCATCCATCCATCCATCCATCATCTATATCATCTCTATCATTATATTATCTGTCTGTCTGTCTATCCATCCATCAATATCATCTATCTCTACTATCTATCTATCTATCCACCCATCCATCTATCCATCCGTCCATCGTCTCTATTATATCTATCTCTCTATCTCTCTCTATCTCTCTCTCTATCTATCTATCATTTTCATCTCTCTCTCTCTCTCTGACATGACTTCCCCATCACAAGACTGACTGACCACACAAAGCCGTTATCCACAGAAGAACAACAACTCTGACATCCCCTAAACTCCGCTGAAGATATTACCCAGCCAGATAATTAAACATTCGGAAACCCACCCACAAGCTCGGAGAACAAACCTTCACCCTCAACCTACACCCAGGTTACAGATATTCACCCCTATTGCAAATAAATCACGTTTTTCAGTGACGTGGTAACTTCAAAGTGTCGTTAAATGAACGGTTATATGTTGAGGCCCGCCTGTTTTCTGCCTGAGGCCAAGGAGATCTGTGGACCATCTGGGAATCTTACGGGAATCTTGAGTTCCAAGGCAGAAAAACAGGAGAAAATGTTTGAGTATGCAACATGAAATTATAACAAGCAAGACAAGAAGCAATGGAAACTGATCAAGGAGAGAAGCAACTTAGAACTAAGGAGAAACTTCCTGACAGTTAGAACAATTAACCGGCGGAACAACCTGCCTCCAGAAGCGGTGAATGCTCCAACACTGGAAGTTTTTTAAGAAGAGACTGGACAGCCATTTGTCCGAAATGGTACAGGGTTTCCTGCCTGAACAAAGGGTTGGACTAGATGACCTCCAAGGTCCCTTCCAATTCTATTACTATTATTATTATTATAACTGAGTGAGAGGCCTTTGACGTCGCATCTGACTTATGTCCACAACTGAGGCCCAAATTCCTGTTGTTAAACGAGACACTTTATTTAGGATGGTTGCAATGTCCCGTCTGTGTGTGTGTGTGTGTGTGTGTGTGTGTGTGTGTGTGTGTGACATGATCCCCCTTTGGTCCTTAAGCCAATGGAGAAGCCGGATTCACTTAACCACCATCCCCAGCGATTCGTTTAACAATCTTGACAAGGAAGATGGAAAAAGGGGGCGAAACCCGCTTAGCGGCTGCCTCGCTTTGCAACAAAAAAGTTGGGCTCAATTGGGTGGCCCTTTTAAGATGAGGAATACCCGTATGGCACGGGATCGAAGTACTGAGGCACCGGGGGTGGTGGTGGTGAGAAAGTGGATCCCTTTGCTACAGGTCTGGAGGGAAAACGTTATCCCGGCCCGCGGACGGCAATCCATCTCCGGCTGATGATCCAAGAGTAAACAAGGGCATTTATTTTTAATCCCCGCAGGTATGCCACAATTCCGGCGAGTCGCCCGTGTAACCAGAGCAACATCTGTGGACGACACATCCCCATTGGAGGGAAGGCAGGGGAAGGTACAGCTATAAACAGCACCTTGGCCGAGAGCCCAGGTATCAAAGCAAAAAAAAAACAACAACAACAAATCAAAAAAACCCCTCTACCTATCTGTGTGTCACGCGCCAAGCCAACAAGTGAGGGAAGGCGAGGAAGGGAACGAGAGCGGTGGGAAGGTGTCAAAACGCACGAAGGGAACCATCATTTGGGCTAAATCCACTTGGAAAAAAGGAGAAGCCACTAAACCAGTTGGATCTCCTTTACAGGGAATCACGCTGTATAAGCCCGGTTCAACAGGAGTAATCTTTGCAACTGTTTTGCCGAGATGTACAGCAGTGGCCAAAATGGTGGAAACCTTTTGGGAAAAGTGTACAGTAGAAATGCCACCTTTGGTTAAGTTTCCACCCATTTTCCTTTTAATTTCTTTATAATTGTAGCCTTATTTACTGAATAATACTCTTTTACATCGCTTTCTGGGTGACCAGTCAACTCTTTGCACCATTACTTTAATTTTATTATGCTTTGCAAGCTCACCCAACGAAAGAACACCAAAAAACCCAACCAACTTGATAGCCATCACAAAACACACTGACCAATGTCCTCCTCTCAGCTTCAATACAGGACATCCATAATTGAATCCTACTGTGATCTGATTGGCTCACTGGCAAAGCAAGATGACACCCAATTGGCTCTCTAAACACTCACGCTCATTGGCTACAATCAGAGGAAAGAAAGCTACCTGAGATCAACCTAAGCAAGTTGTGCTTCCTTTTTTGGCTATAACTTTCATAAAATACAGTACAGATAATTGAACAAACTTTGTTGCATTACATTCTTGATTAAATTATCTTTCCACTGATATCTAATTTTATGGTACTTCCCCCCCCAAAAAAAAGTCGTGTTATTAGCCATCAAACCTTAAAAATACACTTTTCCCAAAAGGTTTCCACCGTTTTGGCCACTACTGTATAGTTAGAGTCCCTTAATGTGAAACGTCCCTCAAGTGAGCTCCGTGTAAACCAGTGGTTCTCAACCTTTTTAATGCCGCGACTCCCAACCGGTCGTAAGTCAAGGACTACTCAACTGGTCGTAAGTCGAGGACTACTCAACTGGTGCAGCACCGTTTGCAGAATGGGACTTTTGGCGGGCTCAGCAGGGCAGAGACAGCCTGGACAATTCCTATTGGCTTTTGAAAGCCAATAGAATTAGACTCTATTCAAGAAAGTCTATTCTATTGGCTTTCAAAAGCCAACAGAATAAAAGGGAATAGTACAGCTAAGGAAAAGGGGGGAAAAAATGGCGGACTGCGTTGTTTGGCGACCCCCGTGAAATGGTCGTTCGACCCCAAATGGGATCGCGACCCACAGGTTGAGAACCGCTGGTGTAAACCTTCTCAAGTCAGGACGAGGCTTCAAGGCCATTTCTGGAAGATAGTCCTTGACTTACAACAGTTCATTTAGTGACCGTTCCTGAACAAGGGATGGAAGCTAATCAAGGAGAGAAGCAACCTGGAATTAAGGAGAAGCTTCCTAACAGTGAGGACAATCAACCAGTGGAACAGCTTGCCACCAGAAGTTGTGGGAGCTCCAGCACTGGAGGCTTTTAAGAAGAGATTGGACAGCCACCTGTGTTGAATGATATATGGCAGGGGTCCCTAACCTGTGGGCCACGGCCTGCTGGTCATTGGGCCGCGGGATAGGCTGGCCGGTGCGCGCGCACACCCTCACTTGGGCTAGTTCCAGGTTGTTTCTCTCTTTGGTTAGTTTCCATCCATTTCTTCTTCTCCTGCCTTCAGGCGCTTTGGAGAACAGCTTGACTCCCTCTCCTTTGGGGGCAGCCCCTGAGATACTGGATCACAGCTATCATGCCTTTCCTAGTCCTTCTTTTCACTATAATAATAATAATAATAATAATAATAATAATAATAATAATAATAACAACAACAACAACAACAACAACAACAATAATAATAATAATAATAGTAAAGTTGGAAGGGACCTTGGAGGTCATCTAGTCCAACCCCCTGCTCAGGCAGGAAACCCTACACCATTTCGGACAAATGGCTGTCCAGTCTCTTCCTAAAAACTTCCAGTGTTAAAGCATTCACCACTTCTGGAAGCAGGTTGTTCCACTGATCAATTGTTCTAACTGTCAGGAAGTTTCTCCTTAGTTCTAGGTTGCTTCTCTCCTTGATGAGTTTCCATCCGTTGCTTCTTGTCCTGCCTTCAGACGCTTTGGAGAATGGCTTGACTCCCTCTTCTTTGTGACAGCCCCTGAGATACTGGAAGGCTGCTATCATGTCCCCCCTCGTCTTTCTCTTCGTTAAACTAGACATACCCAATTCTAGCAACCATTCCTCATATGTTTTAGCCTCCAGTCCCCTAATGATCTGTGTTGCTCTTCTCTGCACTCTTTCCAGCCTACAGGAAGTCCTCGACTCACAACAGTTCCTTTAGTGATGGCTCAAAGTTACGACGGCACTGAAAAAAATGTGACTTACGACTGTTTTTCCCAGTTACAACTTTCGCGTGTTCCCCACGATTACGTCATCAAAATGCAGATGCTTGGCAACTGGTTCATACTTATGACCGTTGTAATGCCCCAAGGGGTGGGTCACGTGATCCCTTTTTGCAACCTTCTGACAACCAAAGCCACTTAACAACCAGGTTAATTACTTGTCCCCTCTGAGGTGACCACTGTGGAAAGAAATGTCGTAAAACGGGGGCAAAAAATCGCTTAAGAACTACTCAAGTTTAACAACATAAATTTTGGGCTCCGTTGTGGTCGTTGAGGACTACCCGTACAACTAGCCTACAATGACGTTGTTATGTTCTGACGGTTCTCTCCTCAAAGTCCTAACCAGGATAGAACCTGCTTTCTTCTGAAGCTTCACGAGCTCAAGGATCTCTGTGACCTTTATTGACATCCAGCTGCCCGCTCTCAGCGGTTATAGCTTACCTCAATGAAAGTGTTCAGGGTGGCGTTGGTTGGGTTGTGGGTGATCAGGAATCTCATATTCTTGTAGCACACTTCCACCGGGGCGGGCCTGTTCATGCGCGCCATGCTGGAGACCAACCGAGGTGGACCGGAGGCGGGTCGGCGGGTCACAAAAACCGAACCACCTCCCGAGAAAAAACGAATTGCAAAGCCCAAAAAACAGAACTAAGGGACGAGAGCCTGACCGGACTCTGTTCCTGCTCAATCAACACAACCGTTGTGCTAGTAACGTCGGATTCTCTAAATCCTCCAATTTAGGAAAAAAAGGAACCCTGTGCTTGAGGCCGAGTAGTAATACTTTTGTTTTTTTTGTTTTCCTCTGAAAAAAAAAAATATCCGTAGAGTGTGCAATTTTAAGTAGTCGTCCTCCCGTCTTTCCTTCTGTAGCTTTCCTTCTTAGTTCTCTTCTCCTCCTCACAAAGGCCTCTGCATTCAGCGAACACGCCGGTGTATCTCTTGGGCTTTCAGGTTACCCCATCTGGATATGTAAAATATTTGGGGGCAAGGAGAAGGGCCCGGGGCAGCTCAGGGTAGAGTGACTGCCGGTGGAAGCTTTCCGTTGACCCGAACGGCCATCCACGGGGTCTCTGAATGGTGAAGACTGAGGGCTCGGGGCCAGGCTTCGGGCAGGGCCCAGTCCTCTTTCAACGGGAAGGATGTTGTGCGTGGCAGTGCTCAAAAGTGCGCCCAGCCCCCGCCATAAATCCACAGGTGATCAGCATGCAGGACAATCTGGAAGAGCAAAAGAGAGATTCTCGGTCAGAATTCCACCTGGCGGACTGGAAAACGTAGCAGAAGTGGGTTGAATTAGGCAATTATATACATTTAGGATCCGGGTGTCAAAAATTCAGAAAGGGCCTAGCTTGACTCTGGCTGGGGTGTCATCTCTATCCGAACAAAGAGAGAGAGAAAAAAACTCTGTACATATTCATTTGCACTGATGATGTTACCTAGCTGGGTCGTGAAACGTCTGCATGAAAAACCACCAAGCTCAGAGAGCACCAAGGACTCCACAGTCCTTTCCTCCTTCTCATCCTCCTCCCTGCAAACCCCTCTCCCTTCTAGCACTGATGATGTTACCTAGTTGGGTCATGATACGTCTTCAAGAAAACCATCAAGCTCAGAGAGCACCAAGGTCCCCACAGTCCTTTCCTCCTTCTCATCCTCCTCCCCCTCCTCCTCTCTGCAAACCCCTCTCCCTTCTAAGCACTGATGATGTTACCTAGCTGGGTCATGAAACGTCTGCAAGAAAACCACCAAGCTCAGAGAGCACCAAGGACTCCACAGTCCTTTCCTCCTTCTCATCCTCCTCCCTGCAAACCCCTCTCCCTTCTAGCACTGATGATGTTACCTAGTTGGGTCATGATACATCTTCAAGAAAACCATCAAGCTCAGAGAGCACCAAGGTCCCCACAGTCCTTTCCTCCTTCTCCTCCTCCTTCTCTCTGCAAACCTCTCTCCCTTCTAAGCACTGATGATGTTACCTAGCTGGGTCATGAAACGTCTGCAAGAAAACCACCAAGCTCAGAGAGCACCAAAGACTCCACAGTCCTTTCTTCCTTCTCATCCTCCTCCCCGAAAACCCCTCTCCCTTCTAGCACTGATGATGTTACCTAGTTGGGTCATGATACGTCTTCAAGAAAACCACCAAGCTCAGAGAGCACCAAGGTCCCCACAGTCCTTTCCTTCTTCTCATCCTCCTCCTTCTCTCCGCAAACCCCTCTCCCTTCTAGCACTGATGATGTTACCTAGTTGGGTCATGAAACGTCTGCAAGAAAACCACCAAGCTCAGAGAGCACCAAAGACTCCACAGTCCTTTCCTCCTTCTCATCCTCCTCCCCGAAAACCCCTCTCCCTTCTAGCACTGATGATGTTACCTAGTTGGGTCATGATACGTCTTCAAGAAAACCACCAAGCTCAGAAAGCACCAAGGTCCCCACAGTCCTTTCCTCCTTCTCATCCTCCTCCTTCTCTCTGCAAACCCCTCTCCCTTCTAGCACTGATGATGTTACCTAGTTGGGTCATGAAACGTCTGCAAGAAAACCACCAGGCTCGGAGAGCATCAAGGACACCCCCCCCCCAGTCCTCCTCTTCCACCCTGCAAGCCCCATGCTTTTCTGGCACGGAGGATGTCACCTCATCATCACCAACTTCATCTACTTGGTACCACCTACATGTAATTTGGAGGGCAACTTGCGGAAAGCTTAAGATAAAAAAATTCCAGAGCCGAACGCCCGGAACACCGATACCTTTAATTGTGATCCATTGGCGGGTTGAAATTCAACCCTAGTGCAGGCAGTCCTGACCGCTTTTCATACTTACGGCCCTTGCAGCATCTCCATGGTCACGTGATCCGAATTCTCGGACGCTTGGCAACTGACTTGTACTTAAGACGGTTCACGTGATCACCTGTTTCCCACTTTCTGGCAGACCAAGGCATCGGGGACGCCACATTTACTTAACAACCAGGTTACTAGCTTTAACGGCAGTGCTTACTTAAGCACCAGGGTCAAGCCAGGTCATAAAACGGGGCAAACCTCACTGAACAACTGTTTTGCTAAGCCATAACAAAAAAAAAAAATTGGGGCTCCATTGTGGTTGTAAGTCGGGGACTGGCTGTGTACGTTTTTCACCCTGTGCCTAGCCAGCAAGGAGACAAATCCAGAGCGGGTGTGGGCAAATCTCACTCTGTAGAAAGAGGCCTCCACTGCAGCTGGTTAAAGCCTGAGCATTAGGATGTAATCCTGTGCTCTAAGTCTTTTCTCACCTGTTCTGAACCCAGGGCACGGGGCGGGCGGCACAGGAATCGAGCACGGACTCTGTAATGTGCTTAACAGCGCCTGAAGGAGGGATCATTACGGGAATTCAAGGATTAATCAACGCTACTTTGAACTTTTGGTTCTTTGGCCTAAACTCTGTGGAAAAACCTTGGTGGAACCCCATATTTAGCTGTGACCGGTTTCCTTCCTCCCTCCTTCTTCTTTCTCTCCCACCTTCCTCCTTTCCCTCCCTCCTCCTTCGTCCCTTCTGCTTTCCTTTCTTCTTTCCTCCCTCCTTCCTTTTTCTTTCTTCCCTCCCTCCCTCCTTCCTTTCTTCTTCCTCCTTTGTCCCTCCTCCTTTCCTTCTTCTCTCCCTTTTTCTTTCTTCCCTCCCTCCCTTCTTCTTCCTTCCCTCCCTCCTCCTTCCCTCCCTCCCACCTTCTCTTCCTCCTCCATCGTCCCTCTTGCTTTCCTTCCTTCTTCACTCCCTCCTTCCTTTTTTTCTTCCCTCCCTCCTTCCTTTCTTCCTCCTCTCCCTCTTTGCCCCTCCTCCTTTCCTTCCTTCTTCCATCCCTTTTTCTTTCCTTCCTCCCTTCCTCTTCCTTCCCTCCTCCTTTCTTTCTTCCCTCCCACCTTCTTCTCTCCCTCCTCCTTTGTCCCTCCTTCTTCCCTCCCTCCTTCCTTTTTCTTTCTTTCAACTCTCCAACCTTTCTTCTTCCGTCTCTCCTCCTCCTTCCCTCCCTCCCTCCTCTTTCTTCCCTCCCTTTTTTTCCTCCCTCCCTCTTTCCCTACTAGGGTAGTTCTTGGTGTACAACAGTTCATTCAAAGTTATAACGGCACTGAAAAAAAGTGACTTTTCACCGTTTTTCACACTGACCACCGTTGCAGCCATCCTCAGGGTCAAGGGATCAAAATCCAGACCTTCCGCAACTGACTTGTATTTACGACCATTATCGTGTCCCGGGGAGGGGGGGTCACGTGACCGTCTTTTGCGACTTTCTGACAAGCAGAAAGCCAACGCGACGGGTTACTAATTCAACAACTGCAGCTTAACAAGTGTGGCAAGAAAGATCTAAAAATGGAGCAAAATTAACTTAACCAAGAACTCGCTTAGGAATCCCTTCCCCCCCCCAAAAAAAAATTGGGGCTGAATTCTACTCCTAAGTCAAGGGTAGGCAACCTTGGCTCTTTTCTAACTCATGGACTTCAATTCCCAGAATTCCTGAGCCAGCATGGGGGGAACTATGGCCCCTTCATGACTTGAGGACTTCAACTCCCAGAATTCCTGAGCCAGCATGAGGGAAATATGGCCATGACTCGTGGACTTCAACTCCCAGAATTCCTCAGTAAGCCATGCTGAGGGGAAAGGGAGAAGTTTCCAAGGTGAGCCAATTGACTAATGGCGAATTTGTCAATGCCAATGGTGTTCAAGTGGTGCTCCAGTTGTTTTGGGATTGCACCCAAGGCGCCTATGACTATTGGTACTACCCTTGCTTGCCTTTGCCACAGTCTTTCTATTTCTATTTGTAGGTCTTTGTATTTTGTTATCTTCTCCAGTTCTTTCTCGTCTATTCTGCTGTCTCCAGGCACTGTCCATGTCCACTATCCAGACTTTTTTGTCTTTTTTATCGACAATTGTTAAGTCCGGGGTGTTATGTGGCAGGTGCTTGTCTGTTTGAATTCTGAAGTCCCAGAGCAGTTTAATTTTATCATTTTCTATGACTTTCTCTATTTTGTCTATTCCACCTTTATTGTTGTTGTTATTATTATTAGTCGTTGAGGCCACTTGGAGCCTTTTAATCTATGTCCCCAGGGTCACCTAAGTAGTGCAAACAGTAGTGTTTTGTAGTGAGTAGTGACCTTGAGGGCACAGGTAGCTTCAATGACTCTCTAAAAGAAGGCAAATGACCAGCTGTCTGCAAGGAGTATAAATCATCCCTTTCCCCCACCATCCAGTCAGAGCTGAAGAAGCTCCTTAGATGAGAAGCGAAACATCTTTAAAGGAAAAACAAGAAAGTCCAGTTGTCTCTTGAAAAAGCACCTTTGGGACAAACGTGAGCTCTATGCCGGAGAATCTGCGTAGATGTTTTGCCAAGGGGAATCCGTGTTCCCCACCACGAAGACCCACTACTAAAGCCAGTTGTGAAGTTTTATTTTAGATCCACCCCATGCATTTCCTCACAAGTACAGGTTAAGTCCTCGACTTACGACAGTTCGTGTAATGACCGCTCAAAGTTACAACCACATCGGAAAAAGGGAACTTAGGACCGTTTCCCGCGCTTATGACCGCTGCAGCGACCCCCTGGTCACGTCACTTACATTCGGATGCTTGACAACTGGTTCCTATTTATGACGGTTGCAGCGTCCCGGGATCACGTAATCACCTTTTGCGACAAGCAGAATCAATGGGGGGGGGGAGCCAGAGTCACTTAACAAGCGTGTTGCCAATTTAACAACTGCGGCGGTTGTGGGTGGAGAAAAGTCGTGCAATGGGGCGAAACTTCCAGCTGACCATTTTCTCACTTAGCAACATCAATTCTGGGCTCAGCGGCGGTCGTTAAATTGAGGACCCCTCCCGTTAAGAAAATGGCTAATTTGGGAGGGAACTATCAACTTTCAGACCCCCAGGAAGAGTCCAGAGAGAAACTTCATCTCCCGAAGGTTGAGAAAAAAAAATCCCTCTAAAATAGGTTGTGCTATTTTGGGTACAATGCGCTCAACTTGGCAAAGCAGGTAGGAGAGAATAAAAGCTAGAGATGCAGAATGTGCAAGCAAGGGGGGGGGGGAAACACCCCCCACCCCAACAGCTTACCTGAATTCGTCCACAGCTTCCCACGCAACAGGTCTGAAATCCCACAATACCATCCAGGGTTTTTTGGTGGGGGAACAAAAAAAGCAGAACGAGTCGCAACGGCTGGAGGCTTCCAAGGAACGCAACGTTACGGGCAGACTACTCTAAGCCTTCTATGATCACCTTTCCTTCCTGCTAAGCTGGTTTGCTCATTTCCTTAGAAGACGCTGCCTCCTCCTCCTCCTCCTTCTCCTTTCTACCTTTCCTTTCCGCGCGGGGGAGAGAGACAAGCCCAAAACCTGTTCGGTGCGTGACACGAGGACCGACAAGAACGTGCCTGCGTGTGCGTGCAAACTCTCCAAAGCTTTCGACACTTCTTTGAAGGAGCAGCCAGAGGCAAACACGGGCTCCCTCCAGAAAGGATGGGCGCGCCGGGCACCGTCAGCGAACAACTTCCTTTTCCACCCTGAAAGGATCACGCTGAGAGAAAGAGATGTCCACGGATAAGAAAGCTAATAAATCAAAGAGGTACGGATCAAAGAGAATTTCTGTGGCTCAGGGTTGGCATGAGAGTTCCTGGTGGTCTCTGAGCTTGCTTGTTTTCTCGCAGACATTTCGTGACCTAAAAACTTAGGGAACATCATCGGTGCTAGCTAATCATCAGACTAGCACTGATGATGTTCCCTAGTTGGGTCGTGAAACGCCTGCGAGAAAACAAGGAAGCTCTGAGAGCACCAAAGACCCCACAATCCTCCTCCTTCTCCCTGCAAACTTCACTCTCTTCCAGCACTGAGGATGTTCCCTAGTTGGGTCATGAAACGTCAGCAACAAGCAAGCTCAGACAGCAGCGAAGACTCCACAGACCTCCTCTTTCCTGCAAATCCCACTCCCTTCCAGCACTGATGTTGTTCCCTAGCTGGGTCATGAAACGCCTGCGAGAAAACAAGCAAGCTCAGAGACCACCAAAGACCCCACAATCCTCCTCTTCCCTGCAAACCTCACTCCCTTCCAGCACTGAGGATGTTCCCTAGTTGGCTCATGAAACGTCAGCAAGAAAATAAGCAAGCTCAGAGAGCACCCAGGACCCCTCAAATCAAAGAGGCTTTAGCCAACCCACGTGAGAAGCTGGCTGACCCAGGGCACCATGAGGCACAACGACCAGGATGGTTCTTGAAGGATTTCCTGGCTGAGGAATTCTGGGAGTTGAAGTCCACAAGTCATAAAAGGGCCAGGTTTGGTCTACCTCAACAGAACCGGGTCGAAACTCTAAGACGTCTTGCATGTGAAGTTTGTGGCACACCTTTCAATTTAGGCTTATTTTTTAAAAAAAATTTATATTTTACCATCCTGCCTTCATTATTTTCATCAGCAACCGGAGGCAGAGAACGTTCCTAACACTCCTTCCTCCATCCGTTTTCCCCACAACGACAACCCTGTGAGGTGAGTTGGGTTGAGAGTGACTGGCCAAAATCACCCAGCTGGCTTTCATGCCTAAAAGGCAAAGCTAGAATTCACAGTTGCCTGGTGATTGGCTAAAAATTCAACCAGTTTTCACGCCTAAGGGAAGACTAGAACTCACAGTCGGGGAGTGACTGGCCCAAAAGTCATCCACCTTAAGGTGAGACTAGAATTCACGATCTCCCAGTTTCCAGCCTAGACCAAACTAGCTTTTACCGACAGAAAAGTTGGAAACAACTGCACCACTAGCTGCACGGAAAGGCATCCACAACAGCTGTGCAAAGCTTATTAACCACGTCAACATGCAGGCAATAGGCTGTAATCAACCTCTTCAATTTCCTTCCTTTAATCCCAAACTTTAAAACGTCTTGTAGATCTGCAAGAACCGAGCCAAAATCAGAAGAGCAAAGGATCCAAGAAAGAGGAAAAAGCACCAAGAGAGAGAGCAAAACCTCGCTTCTACCCACGCGAAACACAGCAAGCAGGAATCGATCGGGTAAAAATAATAAATAAAACCTCTCAAAATCCAGCGTGCTAAACATCTGGGCCAGCTCCTATTTCCCCTTCCTTGGTTTTTACCTTTTGCATGAAGAAAACAACTTCCTGCTTGGCCCAGCGCCTTTTGCAGCCAGCTTTTCAGCTGTTCCCTGGCTGGATTCCCCTCCCGAGAAGCTAAGCCGCTGGTGTGATCTGCTCAAAAGCTCGTTCTGCAATGCTTACCTTCGGCCGGGTCACAGGCTGCTAAGCGCTATGTGGCCGGGGCCCCAAAATAGAACATAAGCGTGTAAATAAATGCAGAAGAGGGCAGGTTTTTGGCTGCCCCATGAAGCAAAGGGGACGCACAAGGAAGTTGTTGTAACTGTATGCCACATACTGAATTGCAAACCAGCTGTACCCAGTTTAGCTTAGAGGGTCCTTTACAAAACTGAAGAAGTGTCACCTTGTAGGGGAGGAAAGAAAGAAAGAAAGAAAGAAAGAAAGAAAGAAAGAAAGAAAGAAAGAAAGACAGAAAGAATGGAAGGAAGAGAAAGGAAAGAAAGAAAAAGAAAGAGGGGAAGGAAGAAAGAAAGAGAGAAAAGAATAGAAGGAAAAAAGGAAAGAAGGAAAGAAAAAAGAGAAAGGAAAGAAAGAGAGAGAAAGAAAAAGAATGGAAGGAAAGGAGAAGGAAAAGAAGGAAAGAAAAGAGAAAGAAAGAATGGAAGGAAGAGAGAAAGGAAAGAAAGAAAAAGAAAGGGGAAGGAAGGAAGAAAGAGAAAGAAAAGGAAGGAATGAAGGAAGGAAGGAAGGAAGGAAGGAAGGAAGGAAGGAAGGAAGGAAGGAAGGAAGGAAAGATTTAATAAGACAGATTCCCAAACTTTCTTGGTGAGGTCATCCTCAATGTCTCAGCCATTTTTTTTTGTGGCACTCCTAGTGTCACAAACATTGCACTGTGGTACCCCTGGAATAGTTAAGACTATCATGTTTATTATTTAGTAATAAAATAAACCATGGGATGCTGCCATGCAGTTTGGGAACTGCAGATAATGATGAAATTTAGTCCTATCAACAGCCCAATTCAGCAATCAAATAACTGAAAATAGAGCAATCGTCCCATTTGGTCCATCCAAAGCCCCAGAAAGCAGAAGCCACGGATGGAAACTGGTCAAAGAGAGAAGCAACCTAAAACTAAGGAGAAATTTCCTGACCGTGAGGACAATTAACCAGTGGAACAACCTGCCTCCAGATGCGGTGAATGCTCCAACACTGGAAGCTTTTAAGAAGAGACTGGACAGCCATTTGTCTGAAATGGTATAGGGTTTCCTGCCTGAGCAGGGGGTTGGACTAGAAGACCTCCAAGGTCCCTTCCACCTTTGTTATTCTATATTCTCTATGGACACAGAATTGGTTGTATGCCATTTCTTTCAAAGCCCACCAGCTGTTTAATGCCAGTTTTCCCCCAAGGATGGATTCCTGTTCCCCTAGCACAGAGGGAATATTAAATGGATAAATGCAAACAGCCATTTTAAATCCTAAATACTTATATTCAGCTTATAATGTGAGCTATGCAAACTTTGGGCCCTCAAGGAACTTACAACAGCCTGTTTAGTGACCATTTGAAGTTACAACAGCCTTGAAAAACGCAACTTATGATCGTTTTTCACAATTACAATCTTTGCAGCATTCACTTAACAACCTGCTACTAACTTAACAACTGCAGTGATTCGCTAACGGTTGCAAAAGAGGTCGTAAAATGGGGCAAAACTCACTTAACAAATGTCTCACTTAATGACAAGAAATGTCGGGCTGAATTGTGGCTGTTAAGTCGAAGACTACCTGTATTTATATGTCACATCTCCCTCACAGAGCGACTCTGGGGTGTGTAAAAATAGAGCAAAATAACAAATCTCACGTCTCTTGGGACGTTAGGGTGTTTACACAAGTGTGCCTCAGCACCTACACAAAGCTAAAATAAGGTTGTTAACGTTTCTGTCTGATTCATACCACATTGGGGAGGATCACTGACTTTGCTTATAGCTCTCCGGCCTACCAAAACCCAGCCTAGATTTATATGATGCATTTGTTCACGCGGCATGTTGTCTGGGTTCACACAATATTCTTGTGAGTTAACAAAATGGCTATATTCAGAAATTAAACGATGCCTAAATGAAGCCTTAGACGCTTTAACAAGGGGGACTAGGCCAGCATTTCAAAACCTTAGCAATATTATGAGGGATGGACTTCAACTCCCAGAATTCCTTAGCCAAGCATAACTGACTGGGGAATTCTGGGAGTTGAAGTCTACCTATCATAACCTTACTAAGGGCTGAGAAACAACTAGCCCAGATAAGATAACAGTTGTGACTTCCACCAAATGCTGTGGACACAACTTTATCTCCGTTTCGATTCCATCTGGCACGCTGCACAAATCCAGCACCCAAGTTGTGAAGCGGAATGTACAAACCACATCACGCACTTAAACAGAACCAAAACCAACCATTTGGGGCCTTAAGGCAGCACATTATCCCCCCAACTCAAGTCTACTTTGGGCCAAGTGGGTCCCGTCAGAAGACCATGTTTTTTTGGCCCGCTGCCTTCTCTTTTTACACAACTGGCCTTATAAACTGACACTTGGGAAGCTGCTTTCTTTGCGAGTCTCCGGAATGACCGTTCTCCTTGACCTTTATTACATAAACCTCTATGAATCTCAGATTACCTCTCTTGAGCTGCTGGCCATTATCTGGAGATAAGGACACCAGCATTATCTGGGAATATCTTTGCTCTTCCGAGATGCTGGGTGGTGGGTTTTTTTTTTTTTCTTCAAAAGCTCCAAACTTGCACAAATGCTCGGTTCTGTTTCGGTGACGCTTTAAACCGCAGATCCAGAGAGAAAGCTAGCTTGCCGAGAAGGACAGGCATCATCTACTTAGATGGACGAAAAGCAGCTCTCCTTGTCTTCTGCTCTATTTATAACCCCAAAATCACATTACACAGGGCTGCTTGACCTGCAGTGAGGATGCAGCTTCTGAGGTTGCTTTGAAAGCAGCTGAGGTTGCTTTGAAAGACATATCCTGTGCAACGTTGTTTTTTTTTGGGGGGGGGGGCTGTTTTTCTGGCTGTTCTGTTTTCTCACGGCCAACTGTCCTGCACCTGCTTTTTGTTTTCAAGACACAAACCACACCAAGCAATAGTTGGATATGTGTGTGTGTGTGTGTGTGTGTGTGTGTGTGTGTGTGTAGATTATTCCCACTCTGCAAGTGATTCACACCAAGACTCGAGAACCGAAAGCCGTTCAGTAGGAATAATAATAATAATAATAATAATAATAATAATAATAGAACTAAGGAGAAACTTCCTGACAGTGAGAACAATTAACCAATGGAACAACCTGCCTCCAGAAGTGGTGAATGCTCCAACATTGGAAGTTTTTAAGAAGGGACTGCACAGCCATTTGTCCAAAATGGTATAGGGTTTCCTGCCTGAGCAGGGGGTTGGATTAGATGACCTCCAAGGTCCCTTCCAACATAATAATAATAATAAT